TTTTTTTTTTTTTTTTTTTTTTTTTTTTTTTTTTTTTCAAAGAAAGAGAGACGTGAAAAATTGCAGTTTCCCCGAGCGTTATTGCTGCAGTTTGGATGTTGCCCTCGAGCGCAATTTGATTCCAAAAACCATTGCCGTGCAGTGGAGAAATGAAAAACCGCGGGGGAAAAACAAGAAATACGAGCGATCGGCAAACACGTCGATCCCAAAGATCGACCAAAGGAATAATCGAGGAAAAGCCGCGATCGAAATAACAAATAGTACTTGGGTACAACGTAGGATGATTAATCCTTCAAAATCGAAAAAATCTGCAAGAAGCAGTAGCACAATATATATGAGAGATGATGCTGCGGATCCTGAGGACCTCGTGGTTCTCGCACGTGACAGCTAGCCCCCACCCAGTGCACGCGGCCTGCTCTCTCTGCGCACAGCGCGCTTCCGACCCGCCCACACACCAGAGCGCTTGCTCCCTCTTTCTCTATCTTTCTCGTTCGATCGTCCACGGTAGCAGCGGTAGCACGGCATAGCACAACAGAGAGCACTCGGTCGCATGCAGCAGTGGCGCGCGGTCGCGAAGACACTCTACCCATTTATACATATATGTATATGTATGGATGGTATACGCGTACCTCTCGGGTGGTTCCCTCGCTCCGTCTCTTTTCCGCGATACAGGTATACCGGGCGAGCGTGCCCTCTCGAGGTGCGCGCCGCCTACGACGGGAGGGCTGGCCCGGCACCGGCCGCCCATTGGCTCGCCGACTCCGGCCTCACGTGACGCGCGCCAGCGTAACCAAGTCCAAGAGAGCGAGACGGAGCTCTCCTGCGGCCCAGATAGCTACAACGCGCTACGCTGCACGGAGAAGAGGTGAACTGCCGTCACTGCCGGAGTAAAGAGGCGCAGTGCCTAAGTCAAGGCCTCGTAGTCGTGGACAGCTATTGTTACCTTGGTTGTTGGCTTCGTTTAGCGCCAGTTGCTTGCCGGACTCGGCGATCGGTACAGTTCGCGAGTATACCGATACACCCGAGTGCGTGGCGATGTTGGGCCGCTCGACTACGCTGATCGGTAAGCGATCGGGCACGCCGAGCCTGACCACCGATGTGCTCGTCTCTTTTTCTGGATTACCGGCCACCAGGGAGTGATTCGTGGCTCCGTTGTTTGTGACAAGTGCTAGAAAATGATTGTTGCGCCCTCGGGAGGGGCTGACCCGTTTGTTATTCCGATGGATGATCGCAGTGACGAGACCGTGAATCATCGACCGAGAGAACAAAAAATAATGACGTGTTGCTGTTGTTGTTGAACTCGGGAGTGATATGTGCTGCTTAGTGCTTCGCGAAAGTACACCAATACCACCTTGAACTCGGCACGAGTGAAATCACGACTATACGCTCTCGAAGAGGCCGCGATAAACTCGGTCAACGGAGATAAAGCAAAAATGTTCCCAGGTGTATAAATACATATTCATATATTTATATACATATAAATATATGTGCACGAAAGGAAGCTTATCGGACGGGATTTTTGTATCACCGAGTGTTTGATGCGAGGCATTCATCAGCGCTTCGAGGGACTGCTCGCCGTCGGCCTCGGCAGCGGCACCGCGAGCAGCACCACCAGCGGCACCGGTAACTACCGGGCGCACTTCCTCGAGCCGCGTCTCGACTACTTCAACCACCAGCCCACGGAGCATCTATCGAAGCCCCTGCTTCGGTACACCGTTGCGCTAAACAACAACAACAACAACGACAGCGGCAGCAATAGCGCCGAAGAGCAGCCGAAGAAGCAGGAGGGCCAGGAGGAGTCGGAGGTGACGGGGGCCATCACGGTAGGGGGTGAGCCCGTGAAGACGACGAGGTCACCGACGCCGCCGGCCGTCCTGGCTACCGACGCTGGGGGCGGCTTCTGGCTGGCCTCGGTGGCCGCTGGGGTGCTGGCCCCGCACGCGGCAGTCACCGGCGGCGGCGCGATGGAGCCCGGGCCACCGCCGCCGCCGGAAACCGGCTTCATCAGCAGCCAGCCGTCGATGGCCGAGTTCATGACGGTCCTGCCCCACCAGATGGGCGCCGAGGGACCGATGCAGCTACACTCGCCCGGAGCCGTGGTGGCCGCGAGCACCGGGCCCCTCAGTAGTCCGGGTGGGACGCATCATACCGGCTACCACGCCATCATGGATCCGCATGGATCGGTCCAGGACGCCTCGGGCCCGGGGGTCAATGTGCCGGAGTACGCCTGGATGAAGGAGAAGAAGACCACGCGCAAGAGCAGCCAGCAAGGTGAGAACCGATTTTTTTTTTTTTTTTTTTTTTTCAAGGGAAATCGGTAGGAATCTCGGGTTGGTAAAACGCGAGCAATGCCGATTTCGCATTTTAAAATGTATATTCATGCGGGGAAGTAAGTAGCATAACTGTACTCGACAATGAAATCTCGAGAGGTGAGAAAAGACAATGGAGTCGGGTACCAAAATCAAAAAATACAATGAACCAGAAACGATAGTTAGCCCCCGCAAGGCATCAAGCAACAAATAACCTGAGAACTCGACGCATAACCCATCCACGAGATCACGATTCACGGCCGATTGTAGAGAGAGCCGGTGGAGAAAAGGGATTGGCCGACGTAACATGAGTACACACACACATACACGTGTCCGAGAGAAGAGAAGCGGGGGGAGTCAATAAAACACGCGGTGGCAAATCGACACTATCGGACATAGCCGATTGTACTTATCGAATGAGCCCATCGAGCCGACCCTCCGAGACGACTCCATTCGGATGCATTAGGCTCTCCACATGATCCGCACGCGCCACCGACCCGAGAGCTCGGCTCGGTGTGTTATATATACACACCCGATCGGTGATGTCCTAATGACAAAACTGCACCTCTCTCTCCTCGGCCTTCCCTCGTTCTCATTATCTTCCCTCCCGTCGTCGCATCCGCCGTTAACTCGACACATCTGCGGCACACGCGTCCGTATGCATACATTGCCTATTATCTATCGTCGAGACCCTTTGGTAAACTGCACACTAGCTCTCTCCAATGGCAGAAAGGGAGTTGGGTTGATCCACCCGGTCTTTGTATACGCGATCACGAGAGTTCATAAGAATCGCCCGGAAAATCGCCAAATCACGCAGTTGCAAGTATATGTAGGCATCGTGTATCGCTCGCCAGCGTGAAAATCGGCTCTTTGAAAGGATGTGCCGCACACATGGTCGGAAAAGTGTAGACGCGGCGGTGCGACGACGACCGTCGGATGAGTTATTGGTTGGTGTAGGGTTGAATGGCGGCGGCCGACCGCCGGTGGTGGTGGTGATGATGATACTTCCTTCCTCCAGCGATTTCCTGGATTTAACGCTAATGTCGTGCTCCGCGGAGACTCGGGGGATCGTTTTGTACGCGTAATAGATTTCGTTGGAGGTGCCAAGGTACGCGGCGATTTGGCTCTCGGTGCGGCGGGTTATTGGACATTGGGGATGATTTTCAATCGCACCGAGTGTGCGGATCGTGAGCGATGACATGGTTACGGGGACAATGAATAAGATGAATGGGACAATCGAGTTGCTTGTATTCGTTTGCGATGGAAAAACTCGTGGGGTCATTGGAATCGGTTTATTCGAAATGAATTTATTCTCAATCCACGCTATTGTTAAACAAACTGCTGAGGAGTATGGTTCAATTAGTAACGTGCATGGGTCTCGCAGCTGGAAAGGATTCGTTTATAATTTATATTACTAAAGTAAACGTACAATGGTAAAGCAGAAATGGAAAGTAACAAAATGTGTCCGACAACTCGCGGGTTACGTTGATAAGAGACAATTTTTTTTGTACCATTTCAAATTTTTCTGCTTTTAAAATTGATTTTTGTTAAAAACTCCTCAGCATGTTTTAAGATCAAAACGGGGCGATGAAAAAGAAAGTGCTTGTTCGGTCAGAATAGTGCGTTTAACAAGTTTATCTCTGAAATCTTAAAAATTATTTGTAGCCATTGCCTTGTTAACCGTTGCCAATAGGTTTTGATGGTGGAATTGATGAACCACAATCAGCAAGTCTAATTGTAAGTTCAACTTTTAAATTGTTTACACATGCAAGTGACAAGTTTACACGCGCAGTCGTGTTCAAAATGATCGAATGAAAATCAAATTGAAAAGAAAAAAAATTACAAAGTGGTCACAGTAAAAATTATTTGATACATTTGTTTATTTTATAAATATACCTGTAAGATAAAATTTTGACCACAGTGGTAAATTAGTACAAAACATAAAAGTTATAAGGTGAGGCAGTTTAAGAATATTTAGTAAAATATTTGTTTTTACTTCTGCTTTATGTACTTGTAGATTTCGACTGCTTAATTAAGTTTAAAAATATATACTCCGATATCGAGTCAACTTTGCTTGGTCTTAAATTCTTTGTCTATTAATACACAATATCTTTTTGTAGCGTAAAAACGTCATGGATAAACTATTTGAACGTGGTACGAACGCAGTCCAAGTTAATGGCTGTAAAATATATTTTTATAAGATAATCGGAGCCTCCACTAATACCCGAGCTAATACCATGTCGCAATGTGTATTTGTCAGAATGCAAACCCTATCTTGAAAGATTTACTGTCACGTGGCTGAGGACTTTTTAATCGTCGTGTCATTTGTTAATACGGACCCCGTATCTTTTTCAGCGGGTTCTTACAAAAATCAGTTGCATTACTTTGTAGAAATAATTAAAATAAAATGAATTCATACTGTAAAAAGAATTGACTGTGGTACTGATTAATTGGTTTGTCTTTTAAAAATTATATCAATCAAACAAAAATGAAATTTTATTGAAGTTAATATGAGCTACAAATTTTGCATTGTTTGATTTCATTTCATGATTTTGTAACATCTCTGATGTAATGAAACATTAAAATATTCATGAGCTATTATAAATGCAGTTTCAATAACAATTACGGATATTAACATAGTTATTAATATAAAATTTTGTTATGTATTTTATTTGAAAAAAAAGGCACCGATAATCTTATTGAGCATTGCTGCAAGCACCGTTTCACCTACGAGATCCATAATCCACCAATTGAACTAATCAGCTAAAGTTCACGACACACGAGGAATTATTTCAGGAGGAAAAAGCAAAATCCATTCCCAAACCGATAACTTACCGATTATCTCAAAAAAACGCTACTTGGAACAAACGTAGTTCACCGTGTTACAAATATTAAAAAACAGTTAAAGGCTCCCGCTAATGAACTTCCGAGCTATTGGCCCAATCTTCCGCAGCTCACACCGGAAAATCTCCGATGCCCACGCAGCCACGAAATCGGTAGTCCAACCTTGACGATCCGAATGACGAAAGTTGTTCATTTATTTTCACCAGAAAAGATTAGGTACGAAAACACCTACCACGACTCATTTCTCTTTTATCTCGAGCCACTGAAATCATCGACCGTCTCGCTGCTGATTCAATAAACGACGTTGGAAGCGTAGTATACAATAAAAAATAAAGCCCAAAACCAAAGCACACCTCAGTCGTCCAAAAAAGTATCAGAGGTTTGATATCCATCAAATCGAGTGCGAAAAAAAAAAGCATCGAGCCATTACGGAGCGGGGGCGCACTCACCATTTGTCCTAAATAACGAGACGTTTTGTCCCTCGGTACGGGAACAAAGCGAAGCTCAGCGAGGGATCCGTACAGGAGGGAGTCGTTCCGTGTACGCGGTATCGGCACTTCATAGACGCATCGAGGGAGGGACACGGCACATAGAAGGCAAGGGTGTCGATCGTTTTCCGGCAACTTGTTGGCTATTGCCGAGCCATCGAGTTCCCATAAATCTACGGCCGAGCCAGCCTCCTCTCGGACCTACGGTTACCCTCTATACTGTACACGTATACCTACACACTTGCGCGCACGCCGGGTCTCCCACCTCACTTATCCTCGTAGGAAAGCCATTCACGCTGTGGCTTTCGCGATTTAACGCGTGCCCCCGGAATCACATCTGCAAATTGAGCGTCCAGCGTGTCGTCCCTCCCCACCTCATAATTCACGTCCAGCAGTTCTCACCGGCGACGGTATCGCCGGACCTCGTTATTGTTTGCCCCCAGCTTCTCTTTTTCTCGGGTTCCTCTTTACGCCTCCGCGGACTCGGCTCGGCGGTGTACGCGTTTTAATTGGATGATTGGTGGCAGCCGAGATGACTACTGCCTGCATGCCCGAGTGGAAAAATTCGCTCCACTGACTACCTTTCGCGTTCACCTCCGTAACACCTACGCTGTTTCTCTTTTTTTTCCCTTCTCCTTTTAAAAAAGGCCAAGGGAGCAAAGTTTGCGTCTATCTGAAGGGGGGGAGGGGAAAGCGATATTAGCATTTTAATGAATCAGGGCGTGGGTCCCGAAATATCCTCCAACCTCATTTCCATCCCCGAAATTCGCCGTCAGCGCTCACATAACATCGGCACACAGGCTCCTCCACGCGAGAGCAGCTAGAATCTGCTGTCTCCCAGCTCGAAATAGAGTGTGTCAGGCCGGCTTCGTATTAAATTCCAATCTGTTACGTCGTCGAGGGGGGGACGCGATGTATATCTTCCACGCTGCGCTTTGCCGCTGCAGCCCCCGCTATCTATCTGGCGTATATCCTCTAATCAAGAGCCCCGGTTTGGGTGCGACACAACAGTCAAGGAGCAGGGAGGCGTCTTTCCTGCACCAGCTATACCCACACGCGCGGGCGCTCACGTAGACAGTGTCTCGGGTGGCAAAAACGCGCGATTCGACGCCTAGAGTAGTTGTTGCCGGGCCGGTTTTTCCGGCGCCTTTCCGGGGAGAGCGCGATGAAGAAGAAGGGAGGCTTGTCTCATCAGTCACCGCGCTCCCACCATACACGTTTTCGTATATCCCTTCTTCCGCGAGCACCGCCAATGTGTCAATTAATCCCTGGGTCCCGGGGGACGTCTCCTTGGAACTCGCTCGTGTGGTTGTGTGCAGCGGCTGGCTGCACCTCGGGACGGCATAGGACGGGGGTGGGTTTTCTTGGAGGACCGGCTGACCGACCAAGGACTACTGTTTCGGCCGAGTCACCCTCCCGCTCGTTTTACGCGCGCGTAAGCGCAAAGCTCGATGGCTCGTGTGATACGGAAGAAGCAGTCTTAGCACGCCCTTTCGGCCCACCCCTACACCCTGCCAGAGTGGTGTGTTCTTCCTCCTCCCGCTCCTTCGCTTCTGTCGTTATTTCCCGAGGAAATTAATCTTGGGGGCACATAATGACGGCTATACGCATTAAACAAGGGTTGTTTCAG